AAAAAAAAAAGTCGTCGATATCGGTGTAGACGTATAAAAGAAGTGCGAACGAAATGGCGCGAAGTATACGTATTCAACGAGAATTCTAGTTCTTCCAGTGGACGATTATGTCCGCTATTTATAAGAAGTATACTGCAGAGTCTGTTAGACTACTCTTACGAAAAAATTTTCATCATCTAGATTCAACTGCGCCGATCTCGTTACACCGATTTATATAACACTTTTGCTACGCATATTTGACAAATTATCGTCAACAATCTTTTATGGCCTAAACTGATGCAGAACAAGTAGCTTTTTTACCGCTGGAGACAGAAGAAGATGCATATATAAATGTATTAAAGCTTTCGAGAACGACCTGTAAGCGTATCCAGAGAACTTAAACAATATTTTCCTTCCCTTTCTTTCCATTTTCTTTTTCTTTCTTCTCTTTCCGCTACGTATGCGAATTCGCGTACGTAATCTTCGTTTAATTAATATTATTCTTAGAAAAGGCATTTTAATCTTTTACATATACTTTAGATCGAAGCTAATGTATTTTTTGTTTTTTTTTTTTCATGCCCCTCTTTTTTTTTTAAGAAACATGGTATTCCATCATCTGTTGATGGCAAACAATGTTAACGTAAGTAGAAAGTGCAAAAGGGACGTATGCATTTAAATTACACGTAACAATCGATTACATTATATTTCTTTATTGTTTATTTTTTCTTCCTTAAAAACTGCATTGTATTTATCGTGCATCCAACGACTAATCAATAAATTGACTTACTGATGGTTATTTTTCAGCAGCCGTTTAGATTAACCATTAATCCTTCATTATATCAATCTTTTTGAATATAAAGAAGTATCCTAGTCTCGTGTGCCGCATGTAACGTCAGAACTTTAAACAATTCTTTTGAGAATCTTTTGAGATGTTTTTTTTTACATATACGATGGAATCTTAGAAAATTAGTGCATACGTTTCTTCTGGTAATCTCTACGTTATAACGAATTCAAATGTACGAACAACTTTTAATCTGGTTATTATGAACTTCCTTGCAGATGCCGAGTATATTGAAATGGAAAAAGTCATCATAATTTTCATTAATATTGTTCAACAAGATTTAACAAGCGGTATTTTGTATTAGTAACTATATTATTATTATATTATAAATCGTTATTATTATTATTATTATTATTATTATTATTATTATTATTACTATTATTATTATTATTATTACTATTACTATTATTATACTACTTTGGTTTATACATGTAGAAACGAATATATTAATATTTACATATTAATTTTTAGTTTATAGATATTTTTACTCGTTTTATCTACATCTAAGAAGAATTCGAGAGATATTATTTCCTTAAAGATCGAGAATAGAATTTGATAAAAACGAGAAACAGTACATCTATCTTAAAGCATCGCTGTCCATTCGTATCGAGTTTTAAAATAGCAAGCGGTTTTCCCTTCCTCATGATTGCAACTGACTATTACGACGTGTCTTCCATTCATAAATAAGGAAGCGCTTGTCGTATAGGCGGCCATCTTAACTACGTAGTCAGTAGAACTTCTTTTATTTTGGTCGTTCGAAACATGCAAACTTTTATTTGGCTCTTCGACAATAGGTAAATAATAAATTAAACAGATATATTTTAAATGCATTCAAATATTTTCCTAGAATGACAAGTATTTGAGAACGTATATGGTTTTTCTGTTGATTACTGTCGTTTCAGTACGCAGTGCACAGCTGATCAGTGGTTCCAACGGACGGTCGCCGATTGTTCGTGCTTCAAAATCTTCGAAAACTACAGAAAAGTTACTGTTATTCGTTTAATGTTTATACAGTGACAGTCGAAATTTCACTGTTCAATCGGTGAATAAAGTTGCGGCGCGTTTGGCAAGTGTCTTTATCGAGTGTTCGAAGTGAGCGGTTAACTGGTTTCTCATTCGTTGGACAATTCCAATGGTTGCCGTCCGGTGAGTTTCAAGCTTACGATTTAAAATCGGATTGCACATTGAAGTAATGCGATTGAAATTCAAATTGACTCTCAAAAGTTTTTTCGTCATCAAAATTTTTGTAATAGTGACATTATAGAAAGGATAAAATCGACGAAAATAAGAAAGAAAATATAACTGATATTCCTAATTGCATTATCTCCACGCGATACGAATTACGTTGGAATATGTTGGAGATCGTAATGCGTTAACAACAGGTTCGTATTGATAGATATTCGCTGATAAATAAGTTAAGTTGAACATTGAATATATATGAATATATATATATATATATA